CACCAAGCTGAAGTTTTACAAGTGGGAAATAACAATAACATATTTCAGTATAGTAGTACTCATATATTTATTTTGGTTGTTCCAAAACGTTTGATATCATTATTTCATAAATAATTTTAAAATACAAATATATTATTGTGTCTTGTTCTGCAGATCACTTCCTTACAGCTTGTGATCCTCTTGTGGGTTGTTAGCCACAGTTTGAGATTATTTTTAAAGCCTTTATTTTATTTTTTGCTTATCAATAGTTGATAGTACTGTGACTTGTTTAAAGAGATAATGTAAATTCAGTATTTAAAAACTGGGTGCTTTTTGATGGTCTTAATTTACCTTGACTACTTCTGTGTATTTTGTGTTAAGGTGATTAGCATCTTGGTGTAATTGATGCATATAATTTACTGCATGTCTGAGTAGATTGCTTTATTTAAGTTGGCCTACTTATGTGTTCAGAGTAAATAATAAACTAGTTTTTATACAAATTAAAAGTGTTGGTGTAATCTTATGGTGAGTAAATAATTATATAATAGGAGTTACAAGATAGTGGCTAGCCTAAAGCTGAGCTGTGTGTACAAGTTTATGGAAGGAAATACAAAGTATGGTATTTAACCATTTTTCAGTCTGGTGACAGTGTAACTCCATTTCTATATTTGGATTTTTAAAACATTGAAACACATAAACAACACTGTATATGAAATACAGACACTTCAAACACTTACAATTTGGTATAAAATTTAGGGTTAAATTTTGTATTTTTTTTCTTTGTTCAAAATAAATATTAATAAAGTGATATTAAGATAGAAATTGGCATTTCTTTATTTAACCTAGCGTTGTTATGTGCTCTTGTGGAAAATAAAGTCAAAACTAAAGGATGCTTGTATTTATTAGAACTGTTATACAGGGCATCAAGGCTGACTGAATTTTTTGGGGTTACTAATAACTGGACATGAATATATTAAGTTAGAAATGCTGGCTCTTATATGTATGTACATAGTACAGTGTTAGAGTACAATACTACCTTTAATAAAAATTTCTTAGCAAGTAAACCTATTGTTTCACATTCTAGGTCGTATCATCACTGCAGCCTATGTACCACTGAGTAACTACCACAACTTGTTTGCAGATGCTGTGAGTGTATCAGTGTTGCCGTGACATGCCTTGAAAGATTGTAGTTAAATTATTATTATTAAAATGTTTGTGTATTTCTTTATAGTATAAGGGGGGTGGAGTAGTAGTTTCATATTGGGATATTGTGATTAGAGTAATTTTTAACCAGCTTTTTATTCTAGGCTTCAGATATTTCATCATAAGTATTATAAATAAACTTTAGTTTATAAAGTTATTTAAGTGAGGATTAAATTTCAAGTACATACATTTATTTCCTTTTATACCAAAATAAAACATTTTGGTATTATAAACATACAAACAAAATAATTTTCTGGTTTTTGGTATTAAAATTATTCTTTTTCCACAAGCTATTGCTCCATTCTTACAGCTTAGATAAATACAAGAAGTTTTCTTTGTACAAAAAATATATTTTACAGAAAGTGTATAAAAACGTTTTTTTGGAAAGCTGAAACTTGGATACTCTCATTCTTTTGTATATATACCCATGTATGCTATAGAATAAGTGCTAAGTTTTATATTTTTTTAGAACTTACTCAACCATTTTGATAGTATATCAAGATGTGTGTATCATTTTGTAAATTTTCATCCTTGTACAATTAATAAATGTTTCACCTAAATATTGTGTTCAGGATTATTTATGAGCTTGAAGCTTAAAACTGGGTAACATTCTGAGAAGTTACTTATTTTAAAATTCAGCTTTGATGTTAATGTTTTGGTAAATTGGATACTATTTTATGAACAAATGCTATTTTGTACCCAGTGCAAGATTTTAGATAATTAGTTTTCTTGGTCTTTAATAATTATCAGATGCAAATTTTATAGTTCTTTACCTGTAGACCACCAAAACCCAATTATGCTAAAAGTACAGATCTAACAAAAAATTTAATTTCCTAACTATACTCTTTTATAATTCCAATTAGAAAAAAAAAGAAAACTATACAGATGCACCGTTTCATATTTTTATGAATTTCATGTCATCCTGTTGCCATCTATATCAACCTCTGGACAAGCAAGAAATTTTAGAATATGCATTCTATTAACTAGTGTGAAATTTCAGGTTATGATGTTGATAGTTTTAGTTTAGTGTAAAGTTTATTCATCTACTGGCTTCCTGAATTTCCTTTTTCTTGATTCATTTTCAGTTTTCTCTTGCTTTTTGTTTACTGATTCCGATCTGTCTCGTTTCTTTCCAAATTTTTTTGCTATTGTACCAATTAAACTAGAATACCTAAAAGAGAAAAGATAAAGTATTACAAAACTTATAAAATAAGTAATTGTTACTATTTAATTTCATAGTAAAACTAGAAACACCAAATGCTTGCAAATTCTTTGTTTTTAAACTAGAAGTGCATGGATTAAAAAGCGTTATTCAATCTTTTTATTTCTACATTTCTTCATAAAAATCAAAATGCTAGTGTGAACTGTACCAAAAACAAAATATTTTTGTGAATATATGGTTACTTATTAAAAGTTAAGTATTTTCATCTTCTTGAAACTGCTTTTACACCCTTTTAAAACATTCTATTTATCAATGGTTACACATTAAACATGTAATTTCTTTCAGTTAATCTTCATCTGCAGGGTAACAATGTTACTTTGTTGTTAAAGTTTAAAACATTCTCATTTTGCAATACATTTAGAATTAAACACAAGTTTTGCAAATAAGTGTACATTATTGACATGGAAAGTTGTATGGAGTACACACAGGTCATGTTAATCTCAAAGATGATAATGGTTATAAATTGTGTTCTGTCATTTCATTTTACCGAAATATTCATTTTTGTAGAAATTAATTTACAAAAAAAACAAAAAAAAACATTTTGCAGATGAACCATTCTCACACACAAAATGTGATGAACAGCACTAAAATAATGGTAACTTTAACCATTTCTAGACGGATCACAGGTGAAAGGCCATGTAATCACATCTGTTGAATACCATACAAAATTTTATTAAACTACTATTTCATGAACTTGTTTTAATAAGTTTGGTATCAAACTGTAGATTATAATTGAAATTTTAATATTATACCTTACTCAATTTCATAATTTAAAAGTAACAGTTAAACATCGATTTTTGTGTGTCACATGGTATGTTGAATGCAGCACTAGTTAAAATTATATGTTTGTGATGTCAAAATACTAAGTCTATAGTTTTGTACAAATTAGAAACTCAAATTACTGATATTCACAAGCTAGAATATAAAATAAGAATGTCTTATCTTTTCTATTTGCTAAGATATTGCTCATGTAATAAATCAAACACAGTGGCACCCCGTCCACCTCTTTCTATTTTTGGAACCGCTCCCTTATGTACACTTACTTCTATGTATGACATGAATAACCAATCAGAAGCTCAGAATGTCCACCTAGTGGCTTTTTCAGCCATTTTAACGGCTTTAGTTTGCTTAAAATTTCATATTTTTTAGATTGAAATACAGCTTAGTTACTAAGCTTGATAAATTATAGTGGAATTCTATGGTATTGATATAGTAATATATGATTTTTTAGTAATTCAACTGTATGTATAAAACCTAAAAAACAATTTTGTTTCATATCTTCCATGTACAAAATTTCAAAAGGCTTAGCAACCTATGTCAAGCAGCACTCAAGTACAAAGGTCATAACTAGAAGAGATAATTGTTTGCTTTACTTCTTTATATTTACTCTTCTATGTTTTAGGGAAAATAAGTTTAAGAACTTGTTTATAAATAGCAATAAGCTATATAC